CACGTAGCATTTAGCAGCTTTGTGTACCACACTCCTTTAATTCAGTTTTATTTACGATATAGCTCATGAAGCAGAGTAAGTTTAAATAACAGCATTATTTGTTTATTGCAGTAAGCATACTCGTAGATGTACAATTCATTACATACATAGGGATGAAACCCACCACCCTCTCTCCGGTGCCTTCGAGCATGTGACGAGTGCAGAGGTTTTTAGTCCCGTCATTATTCGGGGTTTTCTGTTGTGTTTACAGGGATCGCAGTTTTTACTATTCTATGTACGATCATTACTAGTGTTCAATTTCCTCGTCTATGTATACGTAGTTACTACACAGATTTGTTAATAAATATTGAGATCAGTGTGCTCGTGGTAACGGCACTACACTCTGATTAGCAGTGCGTATATGGTTTTATGGTGTGCCATGTGTTGTAGAGTGTACACTCGCACATTGTAAGTACTGGAGAAATGCTCTTAAAAGTGGCAGACAAACGAACAAACAAACAAACAAAGTGAGAACAACTAGTCAGCTGGCTAGTTACGTACATAGGGCATAATGTGTCTAAATCGCAATGACGGTACATTCAAAACAAGACATCATATAATGGAAATAACACCAGAAAAGGTAACAGCTGCGTTAGGCATATCGAACGGAAAAGTCCTAAAAGTCTGAACCGCTGAAAACAAGTAACCTCCCACCGCAGAGGGCACTGCATTCTTCCAGAATGTCTATGCCAATAACAAAGAATGAAATTAAATTGTTAATTTTGACAGATGGTACTCTATTGCTCTTATATAATTTCAGCTGAATCATGCCCAACATTTAATTATGGTCTATTTAATTATGGACACAGTATTTAAAATTGAATTGTGTCTATATCATTGACAATAATTTAAAAACATGAAACCTTTTATTCAAACATAGATGAATTATTGTAGATAAACACATTTCATCAGGATGCTACCCCAATGAGTATTTGTAAAATAAATCAAGCTAGCACTGTTCTATTTTGTTATCGAAAGGCTTGGATAAAATTTATATATAGCTTATTTGTAAATAATCGGCTGTTGTGATCGATACAGAATGTACTAAGTGTGTAAGCTGGAAAGGTCAGTGGAGGCAGTACAAACATTTGTTCTGCAAGCTATGATTAATGTACGACCCCCTTCCTGTAAAATAGAAAGGTACGATTCCCTCTATATGGTAAATGTGACAGATACTACATGAACGGAAATTCAATTTTTGACCGAAATTTTAGAGAAACACTGTATTATTATCACTGTGAAGTGAAATTGTATTTGCAAGCACGAGTAGCGACGAACGGTAAACTTAGAGATATTACAAGCCAGGGACATCATCACCTTTTTCACAATGTGCAATGTAGGCTATAATTTCTAGTACAGTTAATCCCATTAATAATAGTTTCATTTTTAAGTATTCATATTTATCACAGTATAACGAGCGGATTAGCATATATAGGTTCTAAAAATGTTACAGAATACAAAGTTTGACAGACCATTGTTTTCCTCTAAGCAGTTTTGTTTCCTTGCAGAGAAAACTAGCCCGTTTGTTTTTTCTTCCATTTTTTCATAGTGAAAGAGCCCTTACTATGGCAATTTTCACTTTCACTCGTATCAATAGAATGGACTGAGCCACTCAGTTTCGATAAAATGTAATTATTCTGATTAGTTACAGTCTAGCAGCCATGTCGGCAACTATTTTCCACCAGAAGTAAATAATATGATTAAGCCGTACTTGCAACGTCTGGGTTATTAGTAATTAAATTCAAATACGCCATACTTCTGACGTACAAGTTATTGGTAAATAAATATGAATACGCAATACTTTCAAAATAGATTTATAAGTAAATGATATAACTGGGCCATACTTGCAACATACTATTATAAACTAAATAATAAGAAATACGCTATGCTCACAATATTCACGCTACGGGCTTGTTTGCATATCGGATAGACCCAATTGCTAAACAAGTGTTTCTAGCCTTTACACAGTAGTCTGCACGAGCGTAATAGGT